AAGCTCCTGTTTCTTCAAATCTGGAGGTTTCCCATCAAAAACATAGCTGGCATGCAAAGGCAAGAGAATTTAGAGTGAAGCAGTAATTTGGAAATAGCACATCATTAAGGAAATGTGAAAAATCTATTCCGCCATGCAACAAAGGGAATGTGACAACTCACACTGGCTTTATTCCGGCTTCCAAAAGCCTAATCGTCCGAGAGAACATCCCAACCAAGTGACTGAAATCAATTACAGGAACAAAGGTTTCTAATATTGAAGTCTAAGAATAATCGGCAAATACACATATCATAGAATATCAGTATCGGCTATTATACACTATCAAGAGCCACACATAAGGGTTTATATCTTTATCCAAGAATAAATTAACAACAATGCTGGTTATAGCAGCAAATACACCTCTCTGTTACAAGATTTTACTGTTTAGGAATTGTAAAAACAAAATAAAATGTAAAAGTCAATTTATTTATCCAACAAATAGATGTAGGGAAGCTGTACCTAGTAGTTTCGCCAGCCTCATTTGTGAGCATCTCTGTCCCACTTCTTCCCACTACAATCTACAGCATACAGTTCAAAAAACACATTTTTACAGTTAAAACCTGCATATCTACACAATATAATGTAGCGTGCGAGAATGATAATTCATACAAGAAACTGATAGATGCTCATGCTGGCGTCGATAGCAATTTTGCGGCCAAAATAGCTCTCGAATTTCTGCTCCTTCATGGCTCTTGGAGTATTGTCCGCCAACAGCTTCATTAAACCCTAAATTGTTCACAATTTCAAACGAGTATTTACTTTTTTACTATATTTTATCGATTTTGAATTGAAGTCAGATTACACGCACCTTGATTCCCATTGTGAGAGAGAAATTTGCAAGGAGAAGGCTGAAATTTCAGGAGAACAGAGATTGTAAAAATGTTAAGTGAGTGCGGACTGCGGAGAATTTCGTTTTTCTTCAGTTGCTGTCTTGCTGATAGGGTTTATATGCCCTTTCTTTCCCGCCTCTTTTATAGCGCCACTGGAGAACTCACCTGCAAGTCTTTGGTTTTAAGGATATCTTACGTTTTTCTTCGGTTGATGATATTCTTGGAAAAATTGTCAAATAGACCATTGAATTTTACTCAAAAATATAATTAAGATCTCGAATTTTAAAAAAGAGTAATTAAACAATTGAACTTGTTATTTGAGGCGTCTAAACCTAGACACCTAGTAGTCAATTATTCACCTAGAATAACTGGTCATTTAAAATTCCGACAATATTCTAACGAATAAAAAATTACAGCGACGATAAAAAAATTTTAAAAAATTAGGACCTTCTCCAGTGGGGAAGACGACCGGATGTCGTCTTTCTCCAGTGGAGACTCCTGGAGAAGATGACCGGAAATTGTCTTTCCAGTTGAAATTGTTTTTTTTTTTTTAGCAGTGGTGAACAGTGATTAGTGGCGGTCAATGGTGATCAACGTCAATAATTCATACCCACCACCGGAGTTCAATCCTGTGACCATCCCTCAAGATGAGCCACAGTGGTGTCATTCTCTTAAAAGTGACCATTATATCATATTATAATATTTATAGTTTTTTTTTTTTACATCTCTATATTATATTATTACCATGCTAAGGGTGCGTTTGGAAATCCGGAAAATGACTTCTGGAAAATGTTTTCCAGGTTTCCAATGTTTGGCAAGAGGGAGGAAAATGAGGTCAATGAAAAATGATGCATTAGTCAAAGTAAAATAAGTATGTTTTGGGATAAAATGACTTCCTCTTTTTTTTGGTAGTCATTTTCCAAGTAATGCACATGCAAAAAATTTCGGGTCTAATTTTTTACGGGCTTTTGTATGTCGGTCCAACAAGCCCGTGAGCTAGGATTCATGCAACCATAGCCTGCCCCATGCGGATTGACGGGCCCCGCGGCCCGGTCCGTAGACTTTTTATTTATTTTTTTTGAATTCAATTTTTTTTTTTTTAAAAAAGTAAAGTCTACAAATAATATTCATTTTTTTCGTATTTAAAAGTTACATTTTTAAAAATGTTTATATATATATATATATATATATATATATATATATATATATATATATATATATATATATATATAATTGCACTCAGGTGCGAATGAAGCGCCCAGGAAGGAATATGCGAATCAATCAGCGCGCGACACGTGTCCAGATCTAATGGATTAAAAAAAACGCGGTGGTATTTTCGTAAATAATTGAACATCGAAGTGCAAGTAAAATGTATTATAGGTGCAAGTAAAATTTACACTGAGCATCAATACAAAGTGCACCTATAGTTATAAGTAGTTGCATCTATAGTTATAAGTAGTTGCACCTATAGGTATAAGTAGTTGCACCTATAGTTATAAGTAGGTACACTCAGGTGAATGAATGGTTGCGGGAAGTGAATGTTAACAAGACAAAATTACATGCACCTATAGTTATAAGTAGTTGCACCTATAGTTATAAGTAGGTGCACCCAGGTAAATGAATGGGTGCGGGAAGTGAATGTTAACAAGACAAAATTACATGCACTTATAGGTGAGAGTATGTGCACCTATAGTTATAAGTAGTTGCATCTATAGTTATAAGTAGGTGAATGAATGGTTGCGGGAAATGAATGTTAATAAGGCAAAATTACATGCACTTATAGGCAGGGCCGTTCCAATAAAAATGGAGGTCCTGTACAACATCATAATTTGGGCCCCTTTTCAAGTATTTCATATATATAAATAATAGTTGTTCAATTGTATAAATACGTTGCACTACTCTAAAGGAATCCCTTGTTTCGCCACAACTATTTGCAATATCATGCACACAAAGTCAAGTTAAGACTGTGACTACCACTACAAGTATAAAATGCTCTAGAATTTACATCTAAGAGTCTTTTTTTGTACACTTTGAACCACTCCTCCAGACCCTAATTAAACTACTTAATGAAGAACTTCAATCTTCGAAATTCAGAACTTGACCTCCCCCCCCCCCCCGCCCCCCCCCCCCCCCCCCCCCCCACTTAGACCACTTTTAGAAAATCAAAGAATCAAAGTCCCCACCACCGGGGTTCAAACCTATGAACATCCATTTGGAATGGTAACCGGGTTGACAATCCTCATATAATATATGTATATAAGTATATTTGGTAAATTAGTAAACATTGATAACATTTGATTGTAGAAAAATATTTGGTAAATTAGTTGTTAGCTGTTTGGTATAATTTATTTTCTCAAAAAGCTAATTGAAAAAATTGCTTTGAGTATCTTTTTAAATTTTAACTTTTGAAGTTACAAAAAACTGATTAACCAAACACTTATATTAATTTTTTAACCATGTTAAATAGTTAAAAATAATCAAATAAGTTAAAATTAATAGATAAGTTAACTATCTTACCAAACATGACCAATATATTTAACTCATATAATACATATAAGTATATAATTCTTTTTTTTTTTAACAATTGGCCCCCAAATTTGGGGGCCAATTGTTTAAAAAAGAAAATAAAATTAATATATACACATACTATTCACGGACATCTCTCTCTAGGGTTTTGCTAGGGTTTCCTCTCTCTTATTGACTCTCAAGAATTTTCCGGCGATCACTATTGTTTCCTACGGTTTCTGCACCGGCGTTACGCGACAGGAGGTATGGAACAGGCGACAGTGACGCAGGCGGTCGCTGCTTTGGGCCGGCGATGGGCGGACGTCACCTTAGACGATGAGGAAGACGACGTCTTCGTGCCGACGGGGGAGGAGGACGACGAGCAGCCTGCCGAAACAGTACCAACATGGCGCCTGGTGGATAGGTTCTTGACTACTAAGCTTGTGAAGGCGGAGTTTATGAGCCAGGTCATGGCTTCGGTATGGCAGCCGGTGAAGGGAATACGAGTCACGGAGTTGCAACCGGGGCTTTTTCTCTTTGTGTTCTTTCATGAAACGGATATTCAGTTGGTTCTTGATGGTGGTCCATGGTCCTTTGAGAATCACACATTCGTTTGCAAGCAAATTCAAGATAGGGAGATACCGGTCTCGGTGCCTTTGAACACGGTTGATATGTGGATACAAGTGCATGACTTGCCGTTGGGCTATACTTCTGATCTTATTTTGGAGCAGGTAGGAAACTTTTTGGGAGTTTTTATTAAGATTGATGATAGATTTGCTAATGCACCCTGGAAGACGTTTTACCGGATTAGGGTTTCAATCTCTGTTTTGAAGCCGCTAAAACGGCGTATGAAACTAATGAAGAGGGATAAAACGACTTGTTGGGTTAATTTCAAGTATGAAAGGCTACACAACTTTTGCTACTTCTGTGGTATGATGGGGCATCTACATAAGTATTGCTTAAAGGCACGAGATGCGAGAGTGCCGATTGAACAATATCCATACGATGAAAGTTTACGTGCTGGATTTAGGAAGGGGCCGCGGAAAGTGGGTGCTTCATGGCTTCTTGATATGAATGGTAATCCTATGGCGGGGACACGGTCGGATATTGTGCCTAGGGCACGGGTTGACAGGCAGGAGAGTGGGGCATCTGAGCCTTCACGTGAACAAGGGGAAAGTGATGTAGTCACGGCTGCGATTAAGAGGAGAAGGGCCGAGCTGAATGATGGGGGCGATGTGAATGTTGGTGGGGATGTGGTTATGACAGAGATCCAAAAAAACTTGTCCATGGCGGGTTCTGGTTCCCAGACCCGCCCGTCATTATGAGTACCATCAGCTGGAACTGTCGTGGCTTGGGCAATCCACGAACAGTTCGAGAATTAACGGACCTTGCGTCCCAGAAGAAGCCTGATTTTATTTTTCTTATGGAAACCATGGTGCAACGAATACATGCTGAAAGAATTCGTGTCACTCTTGGTTTTGATGGTCTTTTTTATGTTGATCCGACACCGCAGGGTGGTGGTGGTTTAGCACTGCTGTGGCGGAAGAAAATACGGCAAGTCTATTGAGCTACTCCAAAAACCATATTGATATTGAGGTAAATATGTCCAATTTTCCGAGGTGGAGAATGACATGTTATTATGGCTACTCACAGCGCCATAGGAGGGCAGAAGCGTGGGATTTGATTAAATCCTTTGCACTCCGGTCCACCTTACCATGGGTTATGATTGGAGATTTTAATGATCTCCTGTTTCAACACGAGAAGAGAGGAGGTAATCCTCATCCTAATAATCTCCTATGCGGCTTTGGGGAGACTATTGATCACTGTGGTTTGACTCAGTTGCCTATGGAGGGTTACCGTTTTACTTGGGAAAAAGGAAAAGGTACGCCAGTTTGCATTGAAGAACGATTGGATAAAGTATTAGCATCTAATGGTTGGCGTGAGATTGTGCCTGGGGCCAGAGTTATTAATAATCTGATGAGGAAATCTGATCATTCTGCACTGTTTTTGAATGTCTATGGAACATTCCAAAACGGAGGGGGAGGAAGGAGAGGGTTTCGGTTTGAAATGGCCTGGATATATGATGATGGATGCAGGAATGTGGTGGAAAAGTCATGGGAGGAAGGGAGGAGTGAAGGGATCCAAGACTGTATAGCACACTGTGGGAACCGACTGTCGAGATGGGACGGAGACCGGTATCATAAGTTTGGTGAAAAGATCAGGCACCTACGAAAACAGCAATTACATCTTAGGGGTCGGACTGATCTGGCATCCTTGGATGAATTCCAACGCCTGGAAGGAATTCTGAGCAATATCGAGATCCAGGAGGATGCTTACTGGAGGCAAAGAGCCAAGCAACACTAGCTAAAGAATGCAGATGCTAATACAAAATTCTACCACATGTACGCCTCTCATCGTAAGAAGAAAAATACTATTTATAAACTTATGAATGATAATGGGGATTGGGTGGAAGGAGGTGCTATGAGTACGATTATCTTGGATTATTTTAGCCAAATCTTTTCCTCTTGTAATCCTGTGAATGGTGACAATTTGTTTTCTGGAGTATCCCCCGTGTAACCCAGAATCAGAATGAATCATTATTACGTCCTTTTGAGGTATTTGAAGTTAAAGACGCCCTATTTGCAATGGCCCCTGACAAAGCTCCTGGACCGGATGGTATGAACCCAGGTTTTTACCAACATTTCTGGGATGTAGTTGGTAACGATATTTCGGCATTTATAGTAAATTGCCTTAATAATCGAGTCTTCCCCTCTGACCTGAATAATACGGATGTGGTACTCATCCCGAAAAAGAAAACCCCTGAGGTGGTAGCAGATTTTCGCCCAATAGCATTGAGCAATGTGATCTACAGGATAATGGCTAAGATGATTACGCAGAGAATGAAGCCATTAATGGAGAGTATAATATCTGGCTCACAGAGTGCATTTATCCCAGACAGGCTGATTACTGATAATATTCTTGTAGCTGTGGAAGTGGGGCACTACTTGAATATGAAACAGTGCGGGGCTGTAGGTTGGAGTGCACTCAAACTTGATATGGCCAAAGCCTATGATCGCATGGAATGGCCCTTCCTCCGTGGGATGTTATTAGCTCTGGGATTCGATAATAGATGGATTGAGTTGCTTATGTTGTGTGTGACTACTGTGTCGTATAACTTTATGATAAATGGCTCTCGCAGTTCCTCCATTACGCCCACGCGTGGCCTCCGCCAAGGGGACCCGTTATCTCCATATTTGTTTATTATCTGTGCAGAGGGGCTTCCAGTGCTATTGCAGCAGGCGCAGAATAGAGGTTTAATACATGGCTGCAGGGTTGCTAGGGGAGCACCGCCGATCTCTCATTTATTTTTTGCAGATGATAGCCTACTGTTTTTCAGAGTAAATAGGCAGGAAGCATCTGAGATAAAAAGTTGTTTACAGTTATATGAGAGTTTATCTGGTCAGAAAGTAAATTATCATAAGTCCAATATATGCTACAGCAGGAATACAGGACAGAATGATAAGGATATGGTGGCACAAATACTAGGTGTTGCTCAAGCCCCCAACTTTGGGAAATACCTAGGGTTACCCTCATTTGTGGGTAGGAACAAGAAGGCTGCATTTGCATACATAGAAGTTAAAATCAAACAGAGGATTGGATCTTGGAACAAGAGGTTATTATCACAGGCCGGTAAGGAAATCTTGTTGAAAAGTGTGGCTCAGGCAATGCCAACATTTTCAATGAGTGTTTTTCTTTTACCCATATCTGTTTGTACAGCTATTGAACGTGTCATGAATCGGTACTGGTGGGGATCAGGTACGGATCGTGGCATTCACTGGAAAGCCTGGGATAAATTGTGTGTCCCAAAGAAACATGGTGGACTGGGATTTAAAGATTTAAGGGCATTTAATTTGGCAATGTTAGGAAAGCAGGCATGTGGACTGCTCACTAACACTGACTCATTGGTAGCCAAGATTTATAAGGCAAGATATTATCCAAAGGATACTTTCCTAGAGGCAACTATAGGAAATAATCCAAGCTTTTGTTGGCGCAGTATCATGGCGGCTAAGGACCTAGTATGTGGAGGTATAAGAAGGCGAATTGGGAATGGGAATTCTACCTTAATATGGGAGCATCCCTGGCTGCAGGATGAACTAGATCCTATGATTCATACGGAAATGCCGCAGTACCTGTCTAGGGCCAGAGTGGTAGGATTAATTGATCAAGATACGGGCACCTGGGATCTGCATATACTAGCTGATATTTTCCAACCAAGTGATATACCCAGAATTCAGAGTATACCAGTTGCCCCGGAGTATGATGATATATGGTATTGGTATGGTGATCCTAATGGGTGTTATTCAGTCAAGAGTGGTTACAGGCGTATAGTTGGTAATTATGAGAATAATTCTAATGAGATTTTTAGTGAATGGCTAGCCCTATGGAGATTAAAAATCCCACCAAAATGGAAGACATTCCTATGGAGAGCTATTTGTGATATCCTTCCAACTACCAACAACTTACTTATAAAGAGAGTGGATGTTAACCCGATGTGTGCCATGTGTGGGAGAGTGAATGAAGATACCATGCATGCATTAGTTTTGTGTGACTATGCACACTCCATTTGGGCTAAATCTAACCTTCCAATCCCCAATATTGTCACAAATATTTTTCATGAATGGTTTAGTGCAATCTTGAATGTTCTAGACTTTGATGGAATTGTTTATGCAGCTGCAATTTTATACCATCTATGGAGGGCCCGAAACGGAGCGGTATGGGATGTCTGTCTACCAAGGCCAATGAAGTTATTAACAATTGCAACAGCTACAATGAAAGCGTGGAAAGACCTCCACTCATCGTGCCTCGTCACAGCCCCGAGCTGCTGCCCACCATCCTACTGCCGAGCAGCCTCCACCGACGCTAGCTGCACCGAACGCTGAAGCTGCCCAAGCCGCACTGCCTCCGCAGCACACCAGCTTGCCGGAAATCACGAATGGCGAGGTGATGACGCCCGTCAAATGCTACATGGACGCAAGTTATCAGCGAGGAACCAATGCGGCAGCTGCTGGTGCGATACTCCTCGACGCCAATGGTCGCTACATATCCGCTTTCAGTGCCCCATTAATAGGTTGCCACTCCCCGCTCATGGCCGAGGCTTTTGCATGCAAGGAAGTATTATCATGGCTTAAAAGGAGGAATGAACTATCTATGCAGATTCATACGGATTGTCAACTACTGCAGTGCTATTTATCTGGACCACCAGCCACATCACGCTCATATCTAGGTTATGCTATCGATAGTTGCAGAACCTATATCTCTACTTTTACTTACTACTCAGTAATTTACATTCCTAGATTACAGAATTTATTAGCTCATACTTTAGCTACTACAGCATTTAATTTCGCTACTGCTATGTACTGGGACAATGTCCCACCAGACTCTATTTTAACTCTTCTATAAATACAACCGCCAGGTTGACTTTCAAAAAAATATACACATATTATCCAGCAGGCAGTGCGCTGCCTGCTGTATAATATATGTATATACATGTTCTCTAATTGGGCCCCCCAGTGCAAGTGCCCTGGGCAGTCATGCCCAGGGACGGCCCTGCTTATAGGTGAAAGTAGGTGCACTTGTAAGTGATTTTATTTGCACTCCGATGTTTGATTATTTACGAAAATATCACCGTATTTTTTTTAATCTATTAGATCTAGACACGTGTCGCGCGCTGATTTGTTCGCATATTCCTTCCTGAGCACTTATTCGCACCTGAGTGCATCCATATATATATATATATATATATATATATATATATATTTTAATTACAAAGGAATGGGGGTACCCATACAATCTACGCCTACAGTGAGGCTCGAAACCTAGACCTCCCACATATATATATATATATATATATATATATATATATATATATATATGTGGGAGGTCTAGGTTTCGAGCCTCACTGTAGGCGTAGATTGTATGGGTACCCCCCTTCCTTTGTAATTAAAATATATATATATATATATATATATATATATATATATATATATATATATATATATATATATATATATATAAAGAGTTCTATTCACAGAAGGATTTTATAAAGTATCAAATAATTAAAATTTTGAAATATTCAATTCTTTTCTTTTTCGTGCTCATTTTCTGAAAAATGAACCAAACACACAAAGACAGTTTCCCGTTGTATAGTCAAAGGAAAAGAAAATATTTTCTAAAAAATGACTCATTTTTCATAAAACATTTTTCAGAAATCATTTTCTTATTTTTCAAACGAAGCCTAAATTGCAAACCCATCGCTTTCATTGATGTGTTTACTTTAAGTACTCTCTCATTGTTAAAACTGGCACTCATGGGATTTTTTTTTTTTCAAAATAAAGATAAGCTTTAAATCTTATTGTTTTAGACTTATTTCTTAATTTTAAATTTATTTCTCAAATTGGGATACTTTTGTCTCGTCATTGCCTCTCACTCAAGGTATTTTTATCACATTTGCATTGTCACCATTGTCTTTATAGCGTCATTGACACGACATATATTTTACCATGTCATTCTCACTGCATCACCACCTAACTATAGGAAAATACTACATGCACTCTCATTTCTCATTTTCAACTTTTACTCCATCTCACAAATTTTTGAAGTAAACATATTTTCTGGAACTCTCACTACAAGAAATTTCATATTTAGTGACAACAGAAGTTGTCACCGAAACTATCAATTTTGGTCACTATTGAAATTAGTGACCATTTTTTGAAGTCGTCACCTGTCGTCACTATATCCTCCGTCACTATTGTAGTAGTGACGACTTTTGAAAGTTGTCACAATTACTCACTACTTTTGTGACAATATTTACTTACACTGAAAGTAGTATTTGAGTAATAACGACAGTTGTCACAATAAATGTATAATTTGTGACCAAATATGTTATTACAAAAAATTGTTCTAGTGGCAACTAAAATCGTGGCAATTAATTATTTTATTGTGACAACACTTTAGTCACAATAATTGTACTTATTTGTGAGAATTGTTGAATAAAAAAAATGGTTATCAGTGACCTAAAAATTAGTAATAGATAGTCACTTTGTTGTAACAATAATCATGATAACAAATGTTGTATTTATTTGTGACAAAAAAAGTTAACTCTGAAACAATATCAATATTAAATAAAGTCGTAACAATTCAAATTCTTATAACAATCATCTTCATCTCTAATATCTTTAAAAATCTTAAAAATTGTAGTAGCATATTTGTCACTAAAATACTGAAAATTAGTGGCAAAATTTTGTAACTTCTTTAAATTTTGCGACTTCGATCTTCTTCTAAATTCTTTTCACGTTTCTTTGAAG